AGGCAGCGACGTTTGGTGTAGGTGTGAAGACCGGCGGTGGTGGTGGAGGCAGTGGTGCTTCCCGCCGCTGGCAGTGCCACCCTCTGGATCGGATTAGGGTTAGGACAGTGGGCTGTGGTGGCGGCGAACCTCGTACCGTGTGCCGTTTGCCCCACCTCCTCTTTATAGGCACTGTGCAACGGGGGCCCACTAGCCACGAGATGGCTAGACTTCCCCGATCAGGACGCGGTCAAGGAATCCGTCTCGACTGTTGGGTCAAGACGGATGAGATCAATTCTAACAACATCCTCTCCGAAGGCCGCTTTGACCCGACCTTCTGTTTCAAGTAATTTTTTTCTAGCTGAAAAGCAAACACAACTCATGCTCATAACGCATCTTGGACGCAACACCGTGGTCAAGGTATGGGCGCACGACACGCACACAGAGAAAAGCAGCAGGCAGTACAGGGCTGTTTGGATGCTGCCTGGCAGGCAGCTGAACAGCTAGGCAGCTATCCTGTCCACAGGCACACGAAAATGAACGCCTGGGGATCCTTGCCTGGAGCAAGTAAGTTCTCAGACGTCAAACCAAACACCCGCTAAGTCCTTGGTAGAAAAAAAATGTCTCGGACCCTTGGTTTGACGCATCTCTTTCTCCTGCTTTCGTAGTGCCTGCCTTGCTGCGGCGACTGCAGAAACGCAACCAAGAACGACAAAAAATCATGTGCAATGCCAGATCTTCCCAGAGTCTCTCTCTTTTACCTCGTCTCACAGCCCCACCCCAAGCTCCGGTGCATGCGTGCTGCATGCCATTGCCACGCATCATCATAAAGTAAAACTAACCAATTATCAACATGCTGCACAGTGCACGTATGCCATGAGAACACAAGTACGCGCAGACATCAGAAGCAGGATCGTGTTTATTATGGTTCATGTTCATCGTCTCTGTTCATCTGCAGTGCGGCGTCGCTGGTCTCACCGCCCATGTTCATGTGTTCATACTGACAAGGGAATCACCGCCGACCTGATTTGATGCTCATATATAGCGTGTATAGAGTCGCATAATAACTTAATAAGGGCTCCTCTGGATGGAGGGGTGAAAAAAGCATGTATATTTAGACCCCAAGGCTTGATTTGGGAGCAAAGGGTAGGTAACCCAGGGCCATAATACCTGAAGGGGGATTTTGAGGGCACTTCGTTTCCCGTTGAGGCAATCCACGAAGTGTTGTTCTCCCCTGTCGCCTTTTGGGAACCAGGGGTAGATCACGAGGGAGCTGGTGGAGGAAGTCTTCACGGGCAAGGAGGCAGAGGCGACGCAAGACCGGACGACCCGAAGAACACAAACGGAGGCATCGACGCGAGACGGAGGCGGCGATGGGTGACGCGAGGAAGAGAAACAGAGGCAGCGGTGAGTGAGGGGAGCGCTTCCCGGCCTATTGGGTCATGGATTTCTCCCCCGTGGAAAGTAGAGGGAATTAGGCTCCAAAACTCCGTCACTCGGGTTCCAAATGCTACAGCAATCTGCCACGGGGGAGGATGGCCCGTGGACTCGCGGCGCCGGGAAAAGGGTGGGATCCCGGCGGGAAACCTGACTGCCAAAGTAGCCCCAAAGGGAATTCTTTCCGTGCACAATGCCGCCCTCTCCCCGCCAGGTAACTATAGCCCCATCGTGGAGGAATTTCCAGACACCATTTGGATGACACAAGGATATAAATCCTGGCCAATAAAAATACATTCAAACAATTAGAAAAAAGTCACAGATTTCAGAAATACTATTGTCGAGTAGAAATTCAGCACAATTACATAAAAACTATTAATTCGTCACAACATTCTGTAGCTTATTAGTTACAAACAGAACAAATGGATATAGAAAAATAAATAGGATCTATCTAGGCATTTTTGTCTAGGCACAAATCCAGTACATTTATCCAACTACATAACCAGCAAAGATACGACCATAGTCTATAAATCCTTGCAATCAACACTTACAACAATCATCGGTAGCATGACTCAACGATAGCCAAAACTTGCATGATTAGGCCTGCAATTACATGAAGAGAGAAGTCAAACATCAACAGCATACAAAATGGGTTACAACAAAAAAATATAAAGCCCAAAATTATTTCGAATGAACACATAATGAAAAAGAACTACAGAAAAAGTAAGGTGTTGTCCCTTCTATGGAGTATCAGTATCAGGCAAACAAGAATAAAGCATTTTCTTCTAACATTGGCAAAGAAATGAAAATAAGAAAGTTAAAAAAAAAGAACCATGAAACCATCTTAGAGATAAGAGGTTTTACACACAAAAACTAGGTACAAATTAAATCATTAAGCATGCAAACATAACAGTGAATGTCAATAGCACAACCAAGAACAGGATTACAGGGCAGGTGTTGCCAGGGCTGTAAAGCCCCCACCCCCACCCCACCCGCCACCCATGTTTCCCCTTTTTAGCCCTATATGCACAGAACCTTGATTAAAAGCGTATAACCATGATTAACATGCCAAAAAGTATGATTTACATCTAATATCTCATTATTAAGCACCTTCCTTGTCCCATTCCAAGCTCTGCCCCTGAGTACAGTGGCACCAGATCAAATAAGAAAAGTTGCATGTAGAACAGAATGTTCAGTTCTAAGCAAATATGGATTGAAGCTAATTGTCCAATTAAATTGACATGTAAAATAATCTGTCTCTAAAAATGAAGATAGAAACAGACATCTGCTAAAGTAAAGCCAGATGTGAAGAACCATACAGTTGTCTAAATAGATGAAAAAGTGCATCTCGTGCAACATGGAAGAGAGGAAGAGAAATTTTCCCTCAAATTATGTATATCTTGGTGAGTTATCCAAGCAATCCATTCCATTTGATGGTCTGGACTCTGGGCATGGCATGTGGAAACTGAAAACGTAATGCAGCACCAAGCTACTGGAAACGATAACTCCAGTTCACATTGTTAACACTGTTTTTTTAGTCTTAGTACAAACACAGGATGCATTCGCATTGTTACCACGGTCATCATACATTGCACGTGGACGTTCCCAGAACGTGGAACGTGGCCATGTTCCCGTTCCAACATTGCTAAGATATAGGCATGATGTTATATACGATATGTTTGTGCCTGTACCAAATGTGGAATCGCATTAATCACGGATCCAACCAGCTTTTCCTCCCCTACAACAAATCAACTCAGAAAGGCAAAATTAGTTGCTAAAACCAAAATGCAACAGAAATCCTTTTCTTAGGAAAATAGAATAATAGATATTATATAACTGCAAGGTAATAACTGAGTATATTTCTAATGGAAGAAAATAGAAAGAATGGTAACTAAAAGGGCAACATAGTATACTAAGCATGCTTCACATACATGAAGAGTGAAGTTGATCCTCGAGGAAAAATAATTTGATTTCACTGAATAAGGGTTCCTGCAGATAATTTGCCATCTAAAAGCACACTTCAGATACATTCCTTTGTAGTCAGTGTGGACCAATTTTTCTAGTGATAATTTTGTATCCTCCACCTCAAAAGAAAACTATATATATTGCCTAAGGATATCTTGGTTTGCAAGCAAGAAAGAGAGATAATTTTGGATGAATTATGTTAGAAATTTGATAAGTTAGCTGCTCCAGTCATCGAATCTTCAGGAACAAAACTGATTGGTTCTACAAACTAGGTGATTTATAGAATGACTGTCTGCGAATACATACTGGCTAGTTCTAAAAGCTAATACTGATCAGGGCAAAACAGAACAGTCTCCATTTGCGAATGCTGATACAAGACTGACAAAAAGATGGGCATATTTGGTTGTTTCTAACATTTTGTTGCTGAAAAATCGAACCGTTTCCCACTGTACTCTGCTTGTCCAACATACTCTGCTTGTCCAACTGCTTAAGCCTGAAGCCCCATATGAAAATGCAGAAAATGTTTCATTGTTCCCGAGGAAATTGAATATCAGAATTCAATGTTCTGCGGTTTAAAGATCCAGCCTGACGGATTTTGATAGAACTGATTGTTCCAGTGTTGAAGCTGATCTGTTCATGAGTTCATCGATCTAAATATCATGATTTCATACATAACACTGGTAAACACTTCAATCGGCCTTGAGCAAAACTGTTTCCTTTCAAGAAGACATGCGCGCGGACAACTACCGACCACACAGTACCGATTCCAAGAACTGAGCGGCAAATCTTGCACGGCAGAGTCAGAAAGTACTTACGCACCAGTGCAGCCTGCAGCAAGCACCAGGGCTGCCCCAGGCCGGCAGGGGCAGGGCCGCCGGCCGCGCCCGCTTCCCACTTCGCCGTCACGGCGTGTCTGCGTCAGTCCCTCACGGAGGAGAGGAGCTCTGGGTCCCGCCGGGCGCCATGGAGAAGCTGGTCGCGCGGGTGGCGCTGCTTCGAGTTGGAGAACGGTGCGGTGAGCTATTAAAAAAAGATTGTAATTGCTGTGACCCACTCAAAAAATTCAGCGAACTTCAACACTGCTACTTTAACTTTTATTTGTCTTCAATGCCACTGTTGTCAAATTGAAATCTTACGATATCAAATTACAGGTGTGAATCTTCATCTAATATCGCATAAAAGATAGGATTTTTCTAAAATATATTAATCATATTAAATTATATCATTTTTTACGGCATTAGATAAAGATAATTTTTATATAAAAATTATAAATCTCGACGAGATCTATAACTTTTTAGGTTTGAGTTTTTTTATTTAAATTTGTTAAGATGCTAAAAAAACATTAATAACATATTTAAATCTAAAAATACTTTTGATTTTTCGCATCTATATTTTGACATCATTAGAGCCTAATCTAACGGTAGTGCTATGGAGGAAAAAAAAATTAGGACAATAACACGTCCGCTGAACTTTTTTAAGCGAGTCACGATAAATTGTGATCTTTTATAATGCCTGGAGGAATTCGCTCAAAATAGATCGCGTTTATTTGGGTCTGATCTGTATCCAAAGGAGCCCTATAAGTATCCCGTGGTGCTGAACCGATAGCGCCGACCGCCGCCATGGCCGGCAAGTTCCCGTCGGACCACCTCAGCGCTGCCCTCCTCCGGGAGACGGACCCGGCCGCCGCGCTCCGCCTCTTCCTTAACCCGCCGAACGCCACGCTTTCCGCCCCATTCCGCTACTCCCTCCGCTGCTACGACCTCATCATCTCCAAGCTTGCCGCCGCGCGCCTCTTCTCCGCCATGGAGTCCATCCTCTCCTGCCTCCCGCCCGCCGTCCCCTCCTCCGGTACTGGACCTCGAGAGCACCTCCTCCTCTGCCAAGTCATCTCCGCCTACGGCCGCGCCCCGCCTCCCCTGCCGCCGCGCGCCGCACCTTCGCTCACCCGGCCTTCCCCGAGCCCCGCACAGCCCATGCCGTCAACACCCTCCTCACCGCCCTGCTCGCCTGCCGCTCCCCCCTGCGCGACCTCCTTGCAGTCTGCCGCGACGCCGGTATCTCACCCAACGAGTGCACCTATAACATCCTCATGCGAGCGGCGGCAGCGGCGGGCTCCCTCGAGCACGTGCGCCACCTGTTCGACGAAATGCTGCTTATAGGAGTGTCGCCAACTGTCACCACGTTCGGCATCATGGTCGCTGCACTATGCGACGCTGACAAACTGGAACAAGCATTCGAGGTGAAGGAGGCCATGGTTAGGCGGTACAACGTGTCGCCAAATGCTTCTTTGTATGCCAGTCTCATCAAGGGGCTCTGCCAGAGACAGAAGGTAGATGCTGCAATGAGGCTCAAGGATGAGATGGCCGGGAACGCAGAACTTGTGCGAGTTTCAGCTGTTTATGGTACGCTTGTACGGGCATTGTTCCAGGTAGGGCGCAAAGATGAGGTAGTTGGATTGCTGAAGGAGATGAAAGAGAGGGAGATCGTGCCTCATAGGGTGGTGTTCAATGCCATGATTGCCGGTTTGTATGAGGATGAGAGAGATCCTGGTGCTGCATTGGCTGTGCTTGATGACATGCAGAAGAAGCATAGGTGCAAGCCGGATGGGGCGAGCTATAGTACGTTGGTTGCGGGTCTGTGCAAGCTGGGCAAGTGGCGGGATGCGATTGAATTAGTCAAGGACATGCCAAGGCGGGGCTTCCCTCCGGATGTGGTGACCTACAGAATGCTCTTCGATGGGTTGTGTGCTGCTGGTGAGTTTCATGAGGCAAACAAGGTTTTGGGTGACATGACTGTCAAGGGTTTTGCACCAAGAATGGATGGCGCAAGGAAGTTTGTTGAGGGGGTTGAGAAGGAAGGAGATGCATTGTTGCTGGAGGTGTTGTGCAGTCTGGCGAAGGTGAATGCTCTGGAGTCAGGTGGATGGGAGAAAGCTGTGGGTGGTGTGTTCAATGATCGTGGAAAGTTGAGGTTAGAGAAGCAGCTAGAGTCTATAAGGTTTACTTGATTAGATATCTTTGTGGATTTGATGCATAGTGATTAGTACTAGACAATTTTTTTTTTTTAGTTTCAAAATTGCTGCCTGATTCGAATTTGGATCGCTGGCAATTTGGATCACTAGAAAATTCTTAACTATAATTATATATTTGGTCATATGTGTATAACGCACGCAATATCCTTATACTTGTAGTTAAGGATTTTCTAGCATGCTTCTGGAGATTGTGTTCCCTTTGACCTTAACATGGTCATGTGCATCTAAATACTTGAATGATATTGATATTTATACTTGGACCTTATTTTTTGTGAAATTTGTTGGACGCCTGTCAGTCAATGGTTTATGCAGTGCATTTGTGTAGACTGTTTGATTAATGCCTCACTTTGTCGGAGCTAAAGACTTCTCGCAAGGTCTGGCAAATTATGGCAGCCACAAAAACCAAACACACGCTAAGAAATTATGTTACGCCTGACTTTGCTTGGTAAAATGTGAACGTGAAGCAAACATGCCTGGTTTTAGATTATTTTTTTTACTGATACCGCAGTGTGCATGGGTGGATTATGCAGGGCTGGTGATGCAGATTTCTTCGAGGATCAACTTTTTAATTAGCAAGCTGAGCTACTACTTTTTATTTGATTTGCTCTTGGCAGCACCATGGACAGGCAGTATGATTTTCTTTTAGAAACCAGATTTATATTGGTATTATAGTACTAATATAAAAGGAGCGATATACCGACACCACAAAATTGTCTTTCTATTTTGGAGGCCAGTAACACAAATGTTTGTATACTGTGATTTCTTTTATATTTTAAAGAAGAATCATTTCGAGTGCCTGGTTACCGAGATCGCTGCCTAGCAGGCAAGCGAGCTAGACCGTGAACCAAAAGCTGTTAGTGTTGTGTAGACCATTTTGTTTTCTTAGAGATTCAGTAAAATTACAGGCGTCAAAACCTTAAATGTTATTATTCAGAGGTTGATTTGGACTACAATTTTTCCTCATCCAGTTCATTCATCTGAAATAAATAGATTTGCCATTACAGTTATCACAGTTCTTATCTCCCTCCATTGTTGTGTGCCTTAAGTTTAGCCGAAGCAATCATTCTGGTGGCATGATTTGGTTGCGAAGGCCTGCATAATTGTCATTGATCGAGGAAACACCGCTGCTTACACAAAACGTTAGCACACTTCAAATGCTAACACGCACCATGTGATGATTGGGTACTGTACAAGGGTAGAACAAGTACCTAGGGCTTGTTTGGCTCTCGAATAAGTTTGCTAGCGCCACGCCTAAACTAGGCAAAGTATGACACGCCAACAAAAAAGCAATGTGAAAAAAATTTAATCCACAATTATTATGCCAAAGTTTAGTTAGAAATTGAGCCAATGCAACAATGCAAGTGGCACTGCTAAGAAAGCGTAGCAAGCGCACCTATAGTGAATCTTAACCTACCTCTAGGAAAACTTTGCGTGACATAGCAATCCACATGATGATGCCTGGGTTGTTCTTTTTTTTTTATGCCTGGGTTGTTCTTTGTTTAACGTATTAAATGATCCCTAGTTCGAAAATGTAGCTTATTTCAGTTTTGTCCTAAACCAAACATTATGAATTTTAACCAGATTTATTTGTAAAAAATGCACCGATATCTACAACATCAAATTAGTTTCATTAGATCCATCATGAAATACGTCTTGACAGTATATTTGTTTGAAACTGTATATTCTAAAATAATTGTCTATAAACTTAGTCAAAAAAGTTAGAGAAGTGGCACTTTAGAACAGAGGAAGTATAATAATAAAGTTAACTTATCATAATTCGTATGAATAGGACAAGCATCACGAATCAATAAGTCATTAATATAGGACTCATAACAGGACAATCATCACGAATCAATAAGTAATTAATATAGACCGCATAACAGTGGTCCATCAGAGTGTAACAGTATATCATTAAGAATGTCACTGAAGAAACTTAACATATAACTGACCACATGGAATGTAAGGTGCTATACTGCTATATACTATATCTTAGTTGCCCATGAAGTTTTTTGTTGCTGAATGGTCAGTGTCGTAATGAAGTGATTATGAACTCTAGCTCCTCATAGTGGTTTTCTATACTACTTATGTTTGGTTAACTGACATTTTTCAGTTTCTGCTGTAAGGAATTAGCAAATGACAATATCAATTGAGGCTGAAAGAGACATCTAGTTGGGAAGGAAGGTATCTCAATTTTGTAGAATGGCATAAGGACATGGACAGGACCTTGGACAGGTAAGCTCCATGTTCCAACCATTTTGCAGGACATTTAACAAGCTGAAATTCCTTCTTCCAGCCTAAATATTGTCCTTTCATTGCAGTTACATTATCACCGTTATTTGAGTACCACACAAGTTTGTTCTATACTTACACACTGGAGGGCCTGCTGCACATAAACAGGACACATGTCTATCAAAATGTATAATTTAGAAACTATACTTGAAAAGATATACATGCGACTGGGTAAGGGGAGTTCCAGTTGAAAAAAAAAAAACATAACAAGGTCTTATACCTCCTGTAGACTCACTGGGTAAGGGGAATTCACACCTAAAATAATGGACGCTCGCTAAAATAAAAAATAATAAAATCCTCCCCAGTGATCATAGAAGTTTCTCATTGCAACTTGACCCTCTTTCCCACTCTTGTCTATCCTTGTTTAGCATGGTTGGAGGACAAGCCAACATATTTGGTTCCTCAGATTGAGTTTGGGCGAAGCTGGCAAGCAGAATATTAAGGCAGAATCAGATTGGCATGGTCTGGCTGAACTTAGAGCTAGTTGTATCAATTGCTGTGTATAACCAGGTCTCAAGAATTGCAATACTCCCTCTTGCTAGCGTCACAACATTATTTGTTGTTGACGAGGATTTGCTGCCACCATTCTATATCAGTAATTAAGAAATGTCAGATGATGCATTTGATGGCAATAGAGGTCCCGATGGAACGTAACCCACATGCTACGAAGAGCATTCTCCCAGTACACTATTTTTACCTGGACGCTAGGGATTGGGCATTGACATTGTGTCGATGTCCTTGTCACAGTATTAGGTGGGTTAATTACATAGTCCTTTCAAACTGAGTGTAGCTTAGCTGGTTCGATTTCTTGTGGTTGAACCTATCCACTCGGGTTCAAGTCCTCGACTTAACTTGAGTGCTCCTATTTTCCTGGATTTTAGTTCGGAATTTAACGGTGTTATTAAGAATAGCCAAGGCTCCGGAGGTTTACTCAGATTAAAGTTAACATATATAAGATAAAGGCAAAAATATTTGAACTGAATGGGATCAATCCTTTTAATAACATGGATCAGTACATTATCAAATATGAAGGTACCTTCTTTATGACGCTTTTCTTGCTAACTGAATTCTTAATACAGCATAACCTTAATCAGGGACATATATTCTGATACATTAAAATCATTCTTCATGAATAAGATATTACCAGTACCAGCATCGATCTTTGTTGGATAATGAATTGATCCATTGAATGATGATAATGCCTCACAGCCAGAGTTTAGGCCACGAGTTTTAGTAACCCAAGGAGATGCAATTTTGGGACATTATCGCCTTTCTACTTCTACTATACAGATTTATGGAGGGCACCAATACTAAATCCAAGTCTAAATTTACCTGTATACTTCTATTGCCTTTTCAAAATCCATAAAATTTAAAGCATTAACATATCTTGGTTTCCTGAGTGTGGTCCATATTACATTCAGCTTTACTTCAGTTAGAATTATACAAAAAGCAGTAGCAGCAGATATAAATCTTTATGGAGTATTCCTCCTTTTTTTTATTTTGGCAAAAGAAGGTGTTGGACAAAATTGAACTCTAAATTATATTGTTTTTGTCACGTTGCAGAAACCTGTAAATTCTGAACTCTGCAGCAATTTTCTACTACACTGCTACTAAGAAGGCCGGTTGACAGCCTGCAAATTTGCTTAGCTGTCTTGCGCAGTTGCTATTAGGAGTTTTACCTCGTGTTAAGCCATGTTTTGCTTCCTCTTTTGAACTCCAGCATACACATTATGACATGCTGCAACCTCCATGAACAGTTTCTGTTACATGCAACTGCAATAAATGCAGATATAGGGATGCACTACAATTTGGATGGAAATTGTTTCCTCAGAAATCACTGGCAGAAATGCTGCTCTACAGGTACGTAAGTATGGCTATAGGCTATGATATCCTCACGTAACAACAGCATCCCAGCATGCTGCCCTCACTGCTTGTCATTACGTCATGGCAATTTATAGGTTGTTTCATGGCATTTATTTCAATTGTACTTTGCTATGACTGGATATGCAGATGCAGGTCTCTTTTGTTACAAGAGAGCAATGCAACAATAGTGCTTGCAAGAACTGATTTAAGAGTTTGTATTCCCTGATTTTGTGTGCTTAAAAATGGAATCATGTGGGCCTGTGCACAAGAAGGCCTGTCAATGTAGATTTAAGATCTAATACACCGAGTATATATTAACTATGCTCTTAATTTATTAGTTTATTGTGTTTTAAGTTCAGCAGTTTCAGGTCTTAATATATTCTTGAATTAATTGATATCCTTTCTCACATGATAGTATCATTCAGCATGTTACATTTATCAAAGTGTAGTATAAGTATGGAGCTAATATTTTATCTAGCTCTACTTCCTGAACTTGGCATGTTACAATCTTTAAAATTTCTATACAGATTATAACCCATTTCAGCTATATTCTTTTAGGTGCACTGCATATATTGAGTGGCTAAATTTTAACAATCAGTTGTGGTCTTAATCTATGTTACTGTTGTTGGTATGATACTGCACATTACTCATCATATCCTCTATTTTCTAATGGCTTAGTAGTTCTACCATTATGGCATACACTTCCTCATAATGTTGGATGTAAACGCATGTTTCTCTGCTAATGCCTAATAGTTCATAGTCCCCAGCCAATTCTCTTGAGTGCAGCCATCAAATTGTGAAATTGTACTTTGTCTATAGATCCT